CGTTTGAGACCCTCCCCAGCCAAGTGCAGTTTTAGGCCCACGTGGTCGAATTCGGGCAGATCGGTTTGGACAGTCTGGACACTCACCAAACCCAGTGCTTCTAGGGTTTATTATTCCGGGGTCTCACTAGTATGGTGGGCATGCATCACATTTGGAGGGGAACCCCCATGAGTACGCGGGGTTTATTCTTCTGGGGTCAACATCAGTATTGACCACTTCGCTGTTCTTGGCATGTGTTTTTTTTTGTTGGTTCTGTTCATTTTTACTGGGGGTCTGCAAAAAACAAAGTTTTTTGCCACCATACCAAGAGTAGAGATGACCACCAAACGGATCATTTCGCAGGGTTTCCTGTATGGGCTGGGATCCACCGAGTAACTTGGTTGCCAGCAATCCGGTTCCAAAGCTTGAAGTGTTGGTTTCCATTTAACCCACGAAAGGTTAAACTTTTAGCAGGATCTCAGGGCAGCCCAGTTAAGACACTCAAGATCTTCGCCGAATAAAATGAAGATGACCTGATTGCATTCTAGGTGCCGGCTTGACGGGTCAAGCTCAGAGATTTCCATTATGCTGAGGATTGGCACTGAACGAGATACCACTGATCGACTCGTAAAAGGGCGCGTCTCAAATTAGGTTTCGCCGGAAAATGGTTGGCTTCCTGTTGGTTTCCATTTAAACCCAGCACCGAGCAGAAAAGAAATGATTCAGGGAGCTACCCTCGTCCCTTATACTTGTACTAGCAGCTTGAACATGTGAGCATCTCGAGGGTTGAACAGGTTTGGGGAGTTGAGCTGTGCCGCTTGTGCCTCAAATGGGCCGCATCCCCAGCACCAATGAGGGGGCCAGCTTCAGTTTTCCGGCCGCAAGTGTTGCTTGCCCAGGCGAGGATGTGCGTTGACCTCTTTTTTTTGGGCCGTTTCAGTACATCTGCAGACTCTCAGTCTGTCAGAAGGTAGAAGGCCGGCCGATGCCTGACAAATGCCTCAGAAACCGAACGCAGATGAGTTTAGGGTTAATTTGCCCTGCTCGCAACTCATGCGACATTTGAGCCTTGCTCGCATCAAACAAAAGAAAACGATTGGCAATTCACTTTAAGGCGGTTCTATGCTCGCTTATATAGCTCCCCCAGCTCCAAAGTTGACCATTGCCCACCTGAAGGGCCCAACTTGGACAGGAAGATGACGCCCGTCATCTTCAAGTCTTTCCTTTGCATCTTCATCTTCAACTTGCTCTCGCTCACGGACCCAAGGCGATTCTGCACGAGGATTTGTTGCACGTGCCACAAGGGTCGACTCCTAGCCCGTCAAAACCACCCGGGAAATCCTTCCCCCCCAATGAACTATAGGGCATTTGACCGTACAGAACAACTTGCATTGGGACCTTGAGATGCAATAATATCCTGATATGCAACTGGAGTGTCTGGCCGTCCCGGCGCCTCGCTTGTTTATGCCCTGGGGCAAGGCTTGCCGGGGCTTGGGGCCTTGGGGTCTTGGGCCTGGAGTTTGCGGTCTGCCTGGGGCGGCGGAAGAGGAAGCCTTCCGATGCTTCCGCCAGGCGAGTCTCGCAAGTGCTATGCGTGCCTGGAGCGGCAATGCTATGCGGCTTAAGAAGTTCAAGCACGAGATACTTTGCAGGCTGCTTGGTGTGAGGCGCTGGTTTCCGCGGTGGACAGGGAAAGCGATCCTGAACAAGATCAGCAAGGAAGCCAAGAGCACGGCTTCAGCGCGTGGCCAGGTTCCCGGAGGTGGAGTGGAGCCGAAGCTGGAGTGGAGTGGAGCCTGATGTGTGGCTCTGGAGCCACTTCTCCCAACACCAAGGTTTGGGGAGTTAAAACAAAATGGCAGGAAGTCGCTTTCGACCAGAGCCGCTGGGAATCATTTGGGTTTCGGGTTTGGTGAGGTCTTCGTTTGAGTCTAGAGCATCACACGGAGCCATTTGGATCTGTCCAGGGACGGACGAAGAGAAAGGTGAAGAACCCGAAGGCCGCATTTGCTTGTTTCGTTTGGAGATCCCGGCTTTGCCTTTGGACACATGGGTGTGCTTTTGGGCAAGCCCTTCGTTCCCTGAGTGGACTAGGGGGGTCACCCTGAAATTACATTTCTGGCAATCCAAGTTCCAATTGTGCCAGACCATGTAGACCCCGTGTTACTGTGAATCCACTGGGATTGATGAATCTGGGGTCAGCATTACCATGGGCGACCATGCCGCCTTTGCCTCCCTCTAAAAAGCTTCCGTGCCTTCCCGTGCCTTCCCCCCTGTCAGGGGCTGGCGGGTCGGCCTGAAGAGCTGCTACACTGGGCCCTCCATGTGGCCGAGAGCCCCAATTAATTTTTTTCCGCGGCGAGCGGGCGGTGCGCGTTTTGGTGCAGAGGCTGCGGGGTTTTCTCGGGAAGAGGGGGCAGTTTCAAGGCCAAACAGGCTGATTCTGACAGGGCATCGCCCTTTCACTTTTGGGAAGCCGTGGGATTTGCGCTGGATGATTCTCTTTGGGCTCACTCCCTTGTTTCCAGAAAATCATGGTATGAAAGACCAGCAGGTGGTTGGAAGGGGAGCTGCAATTATCCAATTTTGCTTTTACAGTAACTAGGCGGCGTCATGGGCGTCTAGGGAGCTACCACGAGTTCTGTAAGGACATGCTAGTAGATATGAAACTTCTGAAAATATGTTTCAGGCTAATTAGTTTTGTTTTTAGACTAATGGCTAGTTTGAAGGGAAGCCGAAAGGAGAACCCAGCCATGTTGGGCAGTCCCCTATTTTGCGAGACACTCATATGCTTTTGACCTGTTTGTTGTTTTATATTCTACCCACACGTGAGCGAAGTAAAATCGGGTCTCCTCCAAAGAGTACCGTGGAAGGCCAATTTCGCACTTGTTGGGATGGATAAAACCATGCAAACAAAAAATGAGACGCCACTGGTGCAGGTTTTGGTGTTTTTTTTTCCGCAAGCAACCGGTGGCACAAGATCTTCCACGAGAAGCCGCAGGCATCCCAAGGGTCAGACCAGTCACTGATCCCTGGCTCCCCGCAAAAATCAGTGGCCGGTGCCTGGAGCAGAAATCTTGGGGGAAGTGGCTCGTATGAGAAGCGTCCAGGCTGGGGTGCAACGGCTCAGAATCAGAGGTGGACTTCCTATGCCGCACTTGAACAGATGCAAAAAATAGGTCCACAGCAGAACTCCGGCAAGCCTTAGAACTTATTGGGTTCGGATTGGTTTGAGGATTCGACCAATCTGCAACCACAAAACGGGCATATGTGAACTTCTGACAACATTACTCAGAAACCGATAGGGGAGTAATGAAAGCCGATACCAACCTACAACCGATGCTTGACCCCAACAAAGGAATCTTCACGTGACATTGCAGTTAGAGTGACATCACCATAATTTGCCCCAAATCGTTGTTCAGCTGCCCCCTATTTGGTGGTTTAATTTGGGCAGGGGGGGTCCCATTTACCCCTCAACAAGAGTGAAGTTTGCGAGGATAAGCTAGGCCTGATTCAATTGGGTGTGCACGGTCTTTTGGTTGATGTGGCAAGCAAGTGTAATGGTGAGGGCTAAGTAATTATCCTGTATATCAGCTACAATTAATTGATGGTTTGGATTGGTGTTCGGGGAGTTGAACCTGAGAATAGTTCTTTTCAAAACCAGATGGGGGAGGCACCTCATACCAGGGTTACCACCAGATGTAAGGTGAGCATTCTCCTATGATGTCTTGAATTTGTTTTCGAGAACCACGCAACCCCATTCTCATGATTTGAACACTGATAGTAGGCCTCAGGCCCCGTTTGTTTGTTTCCTGCGCTTTTGTCTGTGGCGAAGTGATTCATGGAGTGGTGGCTGAACGAACTATCCATTTGTGTTGAAGCGTGGGATGTACTCAAAGGCCGAACCACACAATATGAATGGGGTTGTGAGAGACTTTCAAGCTGAGGATGAGTGTAATCATTAATCCCGCCCGTATATGAAAAGATATCAACCCAGAGTCTCCATGACCCTTTAAAAATGGGGTCATTACCCTCAATAATGGGGTCATAAACCTATTTTTTAAGGGTTATGGAGCCTCCAGGAAGGCAAATGGTTCGCAGAGATTTGAAGAGATGATCTGCCCATGTAGCTCGCCCACTGCCCGTGTTCGCCGACTTAGGAGCTTCTCCTACATCGGCATTTTGTGCTCCTCGGGGATCGCGAACTTTGGGGAATCCTAAGGGAACCCGGGCTTCATGAAGGTGGTGATTTTGATCGGGGCTGGGGTTGCCCGGGCTTCACGGAGGTGGTGATGTTGATTGGGATCGATGCCTCCCACATTTTATGGGGGATCCGGATCCGTCACTTTCGAGTGCCCCAAATCCTTCCACTCCCGATTCTCAGAACCCCAGCTCGCCTTCGGCCGTCGGGTGCCACCTTTTTGTTGCATCCCCTACACGGGGATACCCTCCCACAAATTAACATGGAACCTGACAGGGGCTTCCTTTAAAAGGAAACTGATCTACCAGGAACCTCCTGTCAGGTTCAATGTTAATTGGTGGGAGGGTAATTACCAGAAATGCAGTGCGGCTCGTTTCGAGACCCCCCTCCTCAAAATGAAAACGACCAAGTGAATCAAATTTGACCAATGAGCGCTGAGTTTTGCGTGATGAGCATTGGTTGATTGTCACGGCAACCACCTTGGAAAGGGAATCAGACAGTGAAACCAGTCACATGTCCCTGTTCCCTAAGCGCGACGGGTTCATTTGATGAGCGGCAAGGGGAGCACGTGACTGACGATTTGTGACGAGCGATCTTCCGGGCCATAAATAAAGCGCCAGCAAAGGTCACCACCTTGCCATGGTCTCTTTTGTAGCCCAGTTTGTTTTATTTTATCTTCAGGGAAGCCTGCCAGTTGTTTCTACCCTCCCATCCACAAGCCTGACGCTAGGGTGGAACCTTTGGACCATGTTCCTTTGAAAGGGGCTCTGTCGCATGGACGCTTGGGTTGGACCACGTTCCTTGGGTTTCACGATGTTCCATGGCGCACTGTGGAGCCTTCCCGACTCGACAGGTATGCCATCGGAGACTGGCTGGAGATGAAATCCATGGGCGCCATGGATGGAGCCGCCTACCAGGCACCTCCGCTTTCCGTCTCTCCGTTTGCATTGGTTTTGAGACAGCCAGACCCTGAAGCCCCCCCAAAGTAACCAAAACACACCAGGAGCTGGTTGAAACGAATGGTGTTTCATGAAGGGTTGGCAACCAGCCTGTTGTTGGAAGCCTTGTGAGGTTGGTACCAACTCTTTCGGGCACACAAGGCATTCCAATTCAGCGACCAGCTGCCGGACCTCTTTTTTTATCATGAAGGTTACAGGACCAAAGGTCTTGGGACCAACCGCCATCGTTTTTTTTGGGCACTCGTTTGGGTGTTTCCAAATATCGAGGACCCCCGTTTCCAATTGGAGAACCGCAATCAGCTAGGCCGCTAGGCCTGTGGTGGTGTTCAGGTGAAGGGATTTGAAGCCCTTCTTGCAGGTGAAGCTGAAGGGACACCACCCCGATAAGAAATACCTTCCTTTGGGGCATTTTGCCAAGGGCTGTTAGGACTTGAGAACTTTTTGCCAACTTATGGGTTTTCCACTAAACCACTAAAAGTTAAACTTTTAGCAGGGGAGCAGAAAGCAACCGAGATTCTTTCCAGGGATCCGAATCTTTTCAGGAAACCATCAGACGCCCAGACAAAACGGATCCGGTTTTTGACAAGAAGGATGGTTGAAAAGAATGGAAAAGAAATCAAAGCCTAGAACCCCTCCAAACCGGCAATGGAAACCGCCTAACAAGTGAAGCTAGGTCCCCCAGTAGTGCCCTTTTACCCCCTTTTTTTGGGAGGGTTCCCCTAGTGAAATAGACTACCGAAAAAGGTTGGTACCCTTATTCTGAGCTCTCAAATTTGGAGGACTTAGGAAGACACACGCGGGAGGTGCTGCTGCAGTCAAAGCTGATCATCACTGCCTTGATGCTCTGGGCGCTCAAGGGTGTCGTGCTCAACTTCCGCGCGTCGCCGTTCCGCGCGTGGGCGAGCCGTGGGATCGGAGCGGATGTTTCAGCCGGGGCCGAGCGTCGATGTGCTTTTCTTCGAGGTCGGTGGGCTGGGTTTTTGTCCTCCAAAATGCTTGTCATGTGGGCCAAGCATATGACAGGAACTCAGAAAGCTGTTTTTTCATTCAGTGGCCAAGGATCCCAAAGGCGCCAAGAGTCGACTTGCCCTTCAAGGAACGATTTTCTTCGAAGCCGAACCTCTCTGAAGCTCAGTTGGGACTGTGAAATGATTGATGGTGTGGGCGAAAGCATCCGAAAACTATTGTTTCAGTGGCCAAGGATCCCAAATCATAAGCATAGTTGCTCAGTGGCACCTCTTTGTCTTCCGCTTTTTTTGGTGGCCCCACTAAAAATGGTCCAAGCCCCAAAAAGGGTTCCCTTTTTTTTCCCAGGGTCACTGAACAACTGAGTAAGCTGCGAGTTTTGGGGGTCCCTGTAGTTTGGGAGCCGAGGTGACAAGGCGAAGCAGACCAAGCAGCAGTGGTCGACCTTGACCACCCTGACCATAGGCGAGTCGCGCGAGTGCAGAGGCTGAGGTTTTACACAGGGCTCCTTAAAAGATACATTTTGCCCATTTGAAGCATGGCTTTTTCCACCAAAATAAAGGGACACCTCCATTTACAAGGCAATGTTCAGGTGTATAATGTAAGGATCCCTGTTACAGCTCCAGCTTCGGCTGTTCGACGAGCGGGCGAAGGTTTCGGGTTTTCCCAAATACTTTTCCCAGACCCTGTAATTCACTATGTGTCTTGTTTGCAATGTGTGTCTGTGTCTCTGTGTGTCTGTGTGTCTGTGTGTCTGTGTGTCTGTGTGTCTGTGTGTTTGTGTGTGTGTTTTTAAGGGACGCATTTGGGGGTTGTTCGTTTGGTTTCCCTCAAACACCAAAGAGCAAGTACCAACTCAACAAAAAACACAACAACGTGTCTTGTTTGCAATATCTGGACTGTATCTTCTGGAAGGTGACACGTTGATATTGAATTGCCGCTGTCTTGGCTGGGCTCCGTGTCGGGCGCAAGCCTAAAATACAATCCGGGTCTGTCTTCTTTTGAGGGTACCCTTCTCGGTTGGTTTTGCAAGAAAGCCAAAGGGAACAGCCACCAATTTAGGGCGTCCGCCAAAAATAGACACGCTGGGAAAGGTGCCACGGATGAGAGACTGTGGCCTGTCTCACAGTATCAAACGCCTGGGCAACCACAAGACACCAGCCGCCTGGCTCACTTGTTTCTCCCAAAGATAAGGAAACCAAGGATCCAGATATGTGACCTTTGTTGCAGCTGCAGGTCACTAGGGGTCATGCCCATGCATCATTTTTATGGTTTGCTGTTTGTTTTTTCAAACGCTGATTTGGTGTACCTTCGGATATGACGGGCTTGCGACTACTCATACTGCCCTGATACTGTGCATGGACGAAATTTGTTCGTGCCACCTAAGAAACCCAACGGAATCATTGTAAATACCAACAACGGTTTGCATGGTTTCACAGGTGGTGCAGGATTTCGTCCATCCACAGTATGATCTGCCAGGTGAGTGAGGGCGTTTCTTCACTGGCTCCATATTTAGATGTCCGGATTTGCACACAGGTTTGAGGCAAGTGGCAGTTGGATAGATGTTCTTCCAAATGGGGACAGTTATTCCCGGGCACTGAGGATCAATCTCTGGGTCCAACACATTTGGCAGATTAAGCGCGAGGATGTCAGGAGCCTGGCAGACTATGTTTCGTAAGGGACCCTTTGGTGGGTTCGCATGTAGGACAGTCGGACAGGCCCTTTCCGTGTCCACAAGCTGCTTTGCTATTTCAAGAACCCCTTGCTGCGCGCAGAATCGCGCAGACTGCTGAGAGGTTTTTTTTGAGAGCCTGTTGACTCAAGTGGCAGAGAAATCGTGTGTTGAAAAGAAAAACTGCAGCCGTCGTGGCACCATGGAATGGCGCGTTTGCCAGGCATGATCATCTTTATGGTTGCTGACTCGTCCGCTGGAGGCCGTGATTCGCATCCAAACCCGACAGGGTTACGCCCGAGCCGTTGTTCGGGACGTGGCAAAATTATTTAGCGACGTTGGGTTTCGGGGTTGCGAAGGCACTCGTCAAGGTTCCCTTCCTCGGTGTTTGTCGGGTACCCAGCAAATTCTCATATATTCATTTTGGGGCTGGTATAGGGATATGTTCAAAGAGTAGTGAATGACTCCCAATGGTGTCCTGTCAACATCAAAGGGGCTTGCTACTTGCGGGCTGAGTTGAGCCTTGGTCAAGGAAGTAGTCGGGTGCTTCGCGAGGTTGAGCCTCCGAGCATTGCGGTTTCGCGGTCAGGTTGTGGGGCTTTAACTGGAAGCAACCATGATCAAAATGAATGGCAGAACCTCACTTCCTGAGCCCCTGGACTTTTACAGTTTATGGGAAGACGATGTTGGTGACTCGGGGAAGAAACAAAAACGTTTGGACTTTTTGTTGGCCAACCCACTTGATCGGACGTGTTGGGAATGTCGGGCACGGAGCTGTTGGTAATCGCAAATCCGCCTGCCCCGGGTCAAAGAAAGTTCCTTGCGTGCGCCAGTCACAAGATGCGGTATGTCGAAATCTGGCAAAGCCCAAACTGGTAGCTTTGCTTTTGGTTTCACTAGCCAACCCCTGAAGGGGACCCTCGAAAACACAAACAGAGGCATACACACTCACACTCACTCACACACATTATTCTTATTATTGCTAGCTATTACTATTACTAATCACAATTACTTTTACTATTGCTATTGCTATTGCCATTATTATTGCTTTTACTATTGCTATTATCAATGTTATATTATTAATATGATATTTACAATATTGTCATGACTGGCTGCTCCAACTTGAGTCGGGGTTCAGCTGCAGTTACACAGATGAATCATTGGTGTTTTTTGCTTGCTGCCAGCCTTGTCAGCTGACCTGAGCAAGAACACATGGGCATGGGTCAGCAAAAAGGAGGGGACCACAGGTTTGAGTTCATGTTTCCACTTATCTTGGGTTCCATTTGCGGTGCGTACTTTTGACCCACAACCACATAGCGGCGTTTTTTCGCTCCGAAAAAATGCAAAATGGAGGCGGTGGGTCCCAGAAGAAGAAAGCGGCGGGCTTCATGGGAACATTCTTCGTGCTTCTCAAGGCTGGACAGCTTGGGGGTCTCCGTCATTTTAGGGGAAATCTGAACTGGCGTACTTTTGGGGACAAGCACATGTGCAGGGGTTTTCTACTTACCCCCAAAACAAGCGAGCAAACGCGGTACTCGGAGGTTTTCATGCATGACCAGTGAACATTGTTTGTGGACCCCAGACTGGGGCCAAGGCTGTGGTCTGCAACAGTTGCGGAGTTTCTAAGGAAGGGGGTTGTGGACCTGCCTGCGTGCCTGCTCTTGCTTGCCTGCTAGTGTCTCTTTACCTGTGTGTGTGTGGGCTTGCTTGTTTGTTTGTTTTTCTGTCTGTCTGTCTGTCTGTCTGTCTGTCTGTCTGTCTGTCTGTCTGTCTGTCTGTCTGTCTGTCTGTCTGTCTGTCTGTCTGTCTGTCTGTCTGTCTGTCTGTCTGTCTGTCTGTCTGTCTGTCTGTCTGTCTGTCTGTCTGTCTGTGTGTCTGTCTGTCTGTCTGTCTGTCTGTCTGTCTGTCTGTGTGTGTGTGTGTTTGTTTGTTTGTTTATTTGTTTGTTTGTGTTTGCCTGCCTGTGTTTGTGAGACCGTGTCTGTCTAAAAGTATGTCTGTCCATCCGTCCATTTGTCTTTCCATCTGTGTTTGTCTGCCTGCCCGTCTCTCTGTTTGTTTGCATGTCTGTTTGTGCGCTTGTTTGTTTGTCTACACGTGCCTGCCTGAGAGTGTTTTTCTACGTGTCTGCGTGTAGCTGTGCCTCTGTGTTTGGGAGAGTCTGCGTCTCAGTGTTGGTGTTGCTGCGTATCGCTTTGTCTTTACGTCTGTAACTATGATCTCCTCCAAAACTAAATTTATATTTTGAGGCAGACCATACAGAGCTTGTTTCAAGATGCTGTGTTCACCTTTCAAAGACGGCCATTCTTCCACCTTTTGAACGCATGGCGACATAGGGATCCTCAAACCATGCCGTGGTCAGAACATGATTGATATCATGGTTTCTTCCCAAATGAACACGAACCCCAAAACGAAGGCGGCCGAGATAAGTCGAGCCGCATTCTGTTTTTTTTCAGCTCCATCTGAATGTGGACTCAGCTTTACGGGCTTCCGCCACTTTATTTTTCCAGGTGCTGATCTCTTGTTATGGGGCGGTGATCGCCGACAGAGAGCTGAAGGCTTACAAGGACATCCGCTGGCCATGAGACCGATTCCAGTTTCAGAATTTCACCGGCTCGGCGGTTGAGGGCACTCCCTGTGATTCCATGGACCTTTGTAGAAGGTATCCAAGGGAACCGCCCCAAGACTAAAGCAAATTTGGCCAGGGCTCACTCATGGTAACTGGGATCAACTGGGATTGAAATGCACGAAGATACCTGTCAAGGCATTGCCAGGTTTAGCTTCAATTTGGTTTTTGGTTTATGACTTTCCTCATGCTCAACCGTTGACTGGGGTCTGAAGATGATCCTCTCAATCGGCTTGTAAACTTGTTGAACGCCCAGGCCCAGTCTTTCCTGTTTTGAGACACATCCATGTGATCCTCCCTTGTCAGTGATACCTGTCGGATTCTATTGTTGGCCCCGGAACTTTCGTAGTATTGTACATCCATGATCCATTTGTTGCCATGTTACTGGTATGACGAACAGAGGGAGATGCTAGTTGGTTTGTTGTCGCTGTGTCAGTCAGGCTGTGATCAACCAACCCGTTGCCTGGCTGTGACAACTTGGTTCCTCCGATTTCTGTGATGCCAAGGAAATCTGCTGTTAGGAGAATCAGCAGTCACTGAGCTGGCCCACTTTGGTATCACACTGCTTCCAGTAACCGCTATAGGCAACCAAGGCTTACACGGTTTTCTTGGTTACCCTCCCAACATAGAACCTGTTTTGGACCACTTTTCGTGGTAAAAGGGAGCTTTTCCCTGGCTGGTTCTATTGCAACGTGGACCAGTACCTATAACGGCAAGCACTTGGAAAAACATGACAAATGAAATGTCCTGCAACCGACTCTGAGGGTGCCGCTTCAAAGAAACGCAGCCATGGCTTTTTTTTTATTCTTGTGTCTTTTTTTGTGCGGGATTGGCTGGATGCTAAATGAGCCATGGAGCTTGAAGAAGGTCCAAACAGAAACCAAAAGGGGATTGACAACAGTTCTTGCTGTCAGACGCTTTTCTTGGGTTGTACCGAACCCGCCCGCTTGCCCACGCCGTATATAATGCAATGGGCGCGAGACCATTTACTTATAATCCGGTTCCCGTTTGCATTCAAGTCCAGGAGTGTGTTTGCACCCAAATGGGTGCTTTTGTTTGGTCCATTTTAGAATCTGGGGGGGGGTCCTGGGTACCAGGGTTTGACCCACAAATCATTACCTCCACAGATGGAACATGTGGCCACGTTACCTCCACAGATGGAACATGTAACTTCTCGCCACATGTGAGGCTCCATTTGTTTCTTCCTGGCGGTGGTTTAGTGAAAGCGCAGGAAAAGAGACCCCTGGCTTACCGCAGCGATGAATCGGGGGATGGCTTGCGGGCAAGTTAGACGGGGACCGAAAATCCCAAGTGGAAAGCACAATGAGTACGCCTCCTCCCAGTAACATACTGTTGACGGACGAATTCCATTTCGCACCAATTTGAAACCATGGGAAGCCATTATTTGGGTGGTCTTTACAGGGGAATTATCATTACAGGGTTTCTCAAGTGGTGCGAACGGATTTCATCCATCCACATCAGCATTTGGAGGGTACCTGAAAGATCAGTTTCCTCTCAAAGGTGCCTGCTACCGGGCCACGGCAATGGTTTGAGTGAGGGTATTCACCATGGCCCACAGGACCTGCCGCTGTATGTGCCGCACCCAGAAAGCAACTTTCGGGCGAGTAGATGCATTGATTCGTTCCACAAAAGGAAAGCCCTTCTACCAGGGGTTTTGTGCTGGAACATCTAGTCTTATGCTTGCTTCACTGTTCTGTTGTTTCTTCTTTTAACTAGTTGGTTCTGTTCATGTTTGTTGAAGGCTAACAAGTTTTTCTTGGTGCTATGCCAGAGGTTGGGATGCTCGTAGCTCCTTCAGGGGCATCCTTTGATGTTGCCTTCAAAGTATAGACTTCCAGAACCCAGGACCCCCGGTTTTGTTAAAGCGCAAGGAACAAATGAGATTGGAGTTTCAAGGTTTTCGAGCAGTCCTGTGTTGAGCGGCTCCATATGCTAAGCCTTGTCGATGATTTTGTGGCTTTTGGACGGACTTATTTAGTGTTTCCAGTTTCGGTTGGTATCCCAGTCTAAGGGTTTTTGTATTACACCCTGGGACTACACCCACTGGGTTTGACCCCATTTAGGGACATTTCCGGATAAAACCGTGTTATTTTGAACCATTCTGGGTCATTTCCCAAGGGTGTAATCCCAGGGTGTAATACAAACACCCTTAGACTCAGTCTGCAAGAAAGATCTTGACCCGAGTCCCGTTTCGTCCTGCGTGCCAACGGAACCCCTACACGTTGGCTCCTTTCTTGGGACACCGTTTTAATATGTGTGTTGTTGAATGTATGGGCTTGTCTTCTGAGGGGACCCCCCAGAACGGGTAGTTTTCCTTTTGGTTTCCCTTTATTCCGCCCAAAACAGGGGTACCCTCAAAAGGACACGCCCATATAGTATTCCTACACGTTGTCGGGAACAAGGAATGCCCTGAAATTTACTGGCAATCAAGCGTACCAGTCGCTGAAGTTCCATTGTTGCGAGATATTCACTTTGCATGCGATTGAGTGTGCGGACATGAGGAAAGACTCCTAGATTCACAAACAATCTTGTGCACTCAAAAGCAGTACACAAACTTTACGATGGGTCACAGTTTTCAGAGCACTCAGCAGTGATATAACATCTCTGCAGATTTGTTAACTCCTGCTTGTGGGGGGTGTTGTTACTCTCGGCGGCAAATTGCACCTTGGGTGATTTCATTGCGGTTCATGTGGCTCGGTCAAGGCTCGCCACAGGCTCGCCACTTGCTTGGCATACACAATTCGCTGGGTCCCGGACATGCGCATTTCCGCTGAACTTGACGGATTCAACTCTTTGGGATCAATCTCTTCCCAGTTGTTTTTCTTTTTGGTGCCTTTGTGAAATCGACTCAGGCAACATCGTTACGACACACCTGAGCGCATTTTTGTCAACTCTCCTTCGGGGTTTCTGCAGGGGCAACTTACTCTTGAACAAGATCTACTGACTCTATTTTCCCCCACGCATGTCAGGGTCTGGCAATTTCACATACATGCACCGCCCGTGTCCCAGGAGCCGTTTTTGGCCCCCAGGCCAAGCACAGGGGTTGAGATCACTCGGCGCCCTTCGGACCTTACGAAAACTTTCACCCACTTTCACACATTTCTCTCAACTTGCCACTGCTCTCCACGCTTTCACGCTTCACGTTACGCTTTGGCGTACGCTTTCGGGCGTTCGAGCATTCCGAGATTTCGCTGAGTGAGATTCGTGTGGCGACCCATTCAGAAGCCTCCGAATCCGGGATCTGCGACATGGAGACTGTCTACCGCGATGACATCAAGTGTCTTGACGAGACTGTCCAACCCCACTTGGCGGATGCTAGCCTTTGGCTGGCACTACAGGCCTGGCCAAGTTGATGGGAGCTTAGAGCTTTGATGTTGAGTCACAATCAAAACCCGGGTAGATGAAGCTTAGTAAGCGACGATCCCAGCCATAAGCAGCTGCGGCCGCCTTCTTAATTCTTTACATGGTTTTGGGTAGACCATTTTAATACCGGGTTTTGATTATGACTCAGTTTGCCAAAAAAGGGAGAGCCATCAGCCGACCTCTTGTGTATTCCTCCATTGTTTACACATCCGCTCTAAAACAGCCGCGCTTCGACCAGAGTGCTTTGTGTTTGGCCCTTGTTTGGCCCATAATCAGCATCAGCAAACCAAAGGACCCTCTGGGTGGTTTACTTTTGATGGTGTTTGTTGTCTTGTAAAACAGCGCAGGACATTTCCTCAACACCAAGGGCAGAAAATTATGCCGTGTGTTCTAAAGATGAGAATGCTTCCCCTTCAAAGGGCCTGCATTTTTTCTGCGCGCACTTGAGGTACTTGAGGCTTGTTCACCAACCTTTGAACATGGGTCCCCCAACCCACCATGGAGATGGCGCATTTAGGAGTCTATGCCAAAGAACGCCCCTTGTTTTGCCTACAATGCGCCACATTGTTCCATCCGCGACGTCTATGAGAAGCGCCATGAGCCATCGGTCGCGCGAGAGGGTTGAGCGCACCGAGAGGGCAGTTTCTCCAGGGGCAGGACTCCAGGTGTTCTTTAGGTGGGGCTTACGGATGCCAGTTCCGATTCCCACCCCGAAGTGCGCCTCATGAATTCCACTTGTAGCTAATCAAGGTGAACCGCCCTATGGAAGCAACTTTACCAAGGACACCAAGAAAAGGACCTTAGGGGCCCGGGGTGGCTTGTCTGACCTCCGAGCTCGCTTTTTCAAGCGCGAAAGCGCGAAGCGTTGGACTCTGGATCTCAATCGTAAGGTTGCGGACCTAATAAAAAGGCCTGTTTTGAGGCCCCAGACAATTCTTAGGGCAGGTTTTGGGGCGTTCCCAAATATCTACTGATTCAGAGCCGACTCGCAAAAGCCAACGTTCATGCCCTTGGTCCCTTCAGAGCTGCAAGCGGCAGTAATAGTCACCAGACCCTTTGCTGTCGCTTTGAATTAGCATATGAACCTTGAGCCACCAGCTTGCAAAAGGAACTCGCCATTCGGACGTTTATTCCTGGTCCCGTTCAGGTGCTAAATGGTGCCAAACTTGTTCCGGGACAATAAAATTGTGTGCAGCATCCGCGAAAGATCAAAAGTGCCCAACCCATGGGTAAGAACCCCTGAGTCAGCTCAAGGGAGATGTGAGCTCACGCTGCCCGACCCAGGCGATTGTGTCTGATTCTGCACTCAAACGTGTCTTTTAGTTGTTTTTTCAGGTGGCTTAATCGCATGGAAGACTCTGTTGCCGGGTTACATGTTGTGACTGAAGGCTTGAAATAGCTACGAATGTTCAGGGGCAAGCCCTCAATGACTCAACAACGGACACAAATCCCCATCTGGTACATATCCACTTGGTGTCCGCAACTAAAACTCATACCCAAAGGAGCTGTGAGACTTGCAGACATCTCCAATCCGGGGTGTGCTCCAAAAAACTTTGGGGCTGATGAAGCAAAAGCAGAATGGCTGTGGTGGTCAAAACCGTTGTGGTTGATCCCATTTTGGGGTTTTCGGTGCACCCATGCAATTTGCAGGGTGCTCATGTTTGGGCTCTTTTCCCGGGCATGTCTTGCCGACACCTTGTTTTGGGTCGCGCTTCGCGAATCTCTGTTGCTCGATTTCGAGTTGCAGCTGTTCAATCAATGCAACAACTGCTCAATTTCGGCTGCAGGTTGCAGCTGGGTTTCAATCAACTTCCATTTGCTTAAGTGTTTTTTCTCCTTGTTGGCTGTAAAAGGAAAGTATCACTACTGGACATATATTTTTTTTCTTGGGGTCTTAACCAAAATGGAAGTCAACACAACAACCCGAGTAGGGCAACACGGTTTTTGGGCCGATCCAATTCGCTTCCGAGCACCGAGAGCACCGAGAGCCGATCTTTCGCGGGGAAAGCGTGCAGGGGGAGACGCTGCTGGCGCCGCCCGGGCTCAGCAAATCCGACTCCACCGTGGCCCGGCCATTACGTCCTGGGGTCAAATAGGACCCACCCCCCGAAAAAGAGAACATGTGGGGGTCCTATATTGTTTCCCTTTACAACCGGCTCAAAAAGCAAACACACAACACACACACAAAAAAAAACACACAAACACCAGAACAAACACCCGTACACCCAAGCAAGCAAGCAAGCAAGCAAGCAAGCAAGCGAGCAATCAAGCAATCAAGCAAGCAAGCAAGCAAGCAAGCAAGCAAGCAAGCAAGCAAGCACACAGACACAATGCACACAGAAACAAAAACACAGAGACACAGACACACGAACACACAGACACACAGAGACACAGACACACGAACACACAGACACACAGACACACAGACACACAGACAGACACACAGACACACACAGACACACGCAGACACACCCACACCCACACGCACACGCACACGCACACGCGCACGCCCACACGCACCCGCACTCACGCACGCGCGCGCACTGGCGGAGGCGCACGCACTTGCGCACGCACGCACGCACGCACGCACACGCACACACACACACACACACACACACACACACACACACACACACACACACACACACACACACACACACACACACACACACACACACACACACACACACACACACACACACACACACACACACACACACACACACACACACACACACACACACACACACACACACACACACACACACACACACACACACACACACACACACACACACACACACACACACACACACACACACACACACACACACACACACACACACACACACACACACACACACACACACACACACACACACACACACACACACACACACACACACCGCGCGCGCGCGCACATACTTACCCACGCACACATGCCTGCACGTGCGCAGGTGCACCCACTCCAAGCGGCTTTTGGCTTTTTAGCACAACGACGCGTTCAGGGCCGGCAATGTATTAGGACCCTTAATGTGAGGGAAAAAGGGCTTGCTGCAAGCCTCCAAATTTTAAACTTACAAAGCAATGGTAGACAAGCTGTAACAGGGGATCCTGCTGTTCCTTTTCCGAGCACAACACAACCATTGCAGGTCTTTGGAGTAGTCCAGGGCTTTCATGAACAAGGGTCCGTTTGATCCCTTTTGCCAACACAAGGTTAGGAGGCAACACCCCACTTAAGCAGGCTTTATTGGGGATAATTTCAAGAAAGATACTTGTCGCCCTACCTGTTTGGATGTCTTTTGTGTATGCGCTGTCCCCCTTGCGGTGGATGCTTGTTGTAGTTTCCGGGAATCCATACCATTTTGCGACATGTCAGATGGCTAGAAGCGTCCTTTGCACAGTGTCCCGCAAAGGATACCAGCTGGGGCCAAACATGACTCAAATGCTGTTATACAAGGTGCCTTTTTCTCCAGAGCAAAAGGCAAGCCAACCTGATCCTTGGGTTACCAGAACTTTCCAGAGGAACCGCCCCAGTCCCTTTGGAAAATGGTACCTCCGCATACTTGGCTTTAAAGGGAAGACAAAAGAAAACCAGCCATTTTGCAGGTCCCCTTTTTGGAGACACGCACAGTATATATGTATATATATTATAAAACCATATGCATATACATATATATATAAACACTATGCATATATATATATATATACTATTGTATGTTGCGAGTCGTGTTTTGGCCGGACTGGTTCCGGATGCTTGGATTGGACTTACAATCTATGCACAGATTGGGGCCGCTCGGGCCAGCTTCGACAGGCTTTGAATGAAGCCCTGCCCATGCGCGGCTGAGACGGTAAGTTGGTGCAGGGCTCCTTAAAAGATCTCCATGCCAGCCCATTTGAAGCATGTTGCAATTTTTCAACACCAATATAAAATTCAAAACACCATTTAGAAGTTGCAGTGTTCAGGTGTATAATGTAAGGATCCCTGTTATGTATAGCTGATTTGAGATGCACAGTGCTTGAACCCTGGGGAGTTGTTTCTTTGCTGCGTTGTATTTAGCGGACCGTCGTTAACGACAGTGGCTGCGAGGTGCAAACACAGGCAGTTGGTAGAACCAACAGAAAGTCAACAGGGTTTCGGCACGTAGCAGCTGGTAGCGAAAAGACATGCCCCTCAGGTGACCATTTTCGACTGGGACGACACGTGGCTCGGATGCAGCGAGAGACAGCGAGAAGAGAGAGAGAGAGAGAGAGAGAGAGAGAGAGAAGAACAAAGAAGATAGAAAGACAGAGAGAGTGGGAGAGAGAGAGAGAGAGAGGGAGCGAGCTTCGTATAGAGAGCTTCGTATAGAGAGAACCCAACCCTTCCAAGACAACTCACTCCTTGAGTTCCCCGACTTTAAACTTTCGGGAAACAATTTTGAGTGGCAACCAGACAGCTTGGTCCGATCCTACTCCATGCGGCTCGAAAGAAACCCCCTGCTTTGCCCGCGAAAGGAACCACGAGGGCCACGAAAGGGCGCTAAGAGCCGGCGGAAGGGAAGTTTCCCTCGCCTTTCGTCTGAACCCGGAGATGTTCCTAGATTCAATCAGCCAGGGATTCCTACTTGCGCACTATATCTGTCTCATACGTATGCTTGCGCTGCCGCTTTTTTTTCAATGGTTGCACCCCCCGAACCCGAAGGCCCGAAGGCCCGAAGGTATGGTTTGTTGAAGGTGTTGCGCAAACCGGTGGATGGATCCGTACTGGAACCTTTCTCGGCTCCTCGGCTCTTTAGCCTGCAGGTATGAGTTGTTTTTGTTTGTATGCCTGAAGCGAAAGGAGTTCTGGGGTCGCGACGGCGGCACGTGCCGCAGTGAATTCCCCAGAGGTTCAACTCGTTTTTACCCACCCCGAGTTTTTGTTGGCGCTTTTCGCTTTTCTTTGCCCGCGTGGGCATCCACGCCTTTGCGAGGATCCTTTGCACTTCTCTTTTGTCCACGCTTGGCTTTCCGACGGAAGTTCCCGGGGACGTCAAGTCCGTCATGAAGGAGATCGCCACTCGGCGAGTCACTAAGTGACTTGAGTCACTGCTTGGGACCAATTTGGCTGTGGCTCAACAAATTAAAGAGTCAGGGTGACGCAAGTCTTCGGTCTTTTGTTTCTACTTGCCGAGGGGAAGCTCTTGTTTTTGGGGTACCCTCCCTCCCACCATGGCAGCTGGGAGGTATCCAGATGAATCTCTTGAAGGTACCCCCTGTGGCAACGTGGGAGCGAGGGATTTGACCTGAAGTCTCGACCCTTAAATGGGATCGTGACCCTTATATTTTGGTTGTGACCCCGTTTTTCGAGGGTGGAGACTCGATCCAGGTACCGAGGGGCCGATTTGGGGTACCCTTTTTCGAGCCATTCGGCCATTCGGCCAACAAGCATCTTGGGTTTCTTGGTTTCCGATGGGAACGTGAGCTGAGGGCCTGGCACTTGGGGTCACGGACATGGTGTTGGGCTTGGGCAAAGTGTGTCTTCCCCCAGCAATTGGTGCCAACTTTGACCGTAACTTTTTTGGTTGGGAGGGTTCCCCTAATCAAATAGACAGAACAAAGTGGGTACCCTTATTCGGATTTTGACCCATGGCCATATCATGCCAGGGTTTCTGACCGGTGGTGCCATCCACAGTCTAAACCGCACCGCACCCATTGTTTTTTTGTTCTAATGGATTCCCTTTGAAACCAACAGGGGGCACATGTTCGTTTCAGCAAATGGAAGACTACGGGCCCTGGCTCGATTGATCTCGATTGGTTTCGGTGGAGCCTTGGTGTGCATCGATGTCAGGCGAGGTCCGAGGTCCGAGTTCTTGGAAGCATTCTCAGCCCAGTGGCCTCATTTTCTCAACTTTTTTCTGGAAGGGTTCTTTTTGAAAGTCCCCCAACCAAAAAAGGATGCCCTTTTTTTCCCATGGCCATTGGGAATCTGAGTCAGAATTGAAGTGATTCCCTCAGTTCAGTTTCGGGTTCATGAGTAAACATATTCATTCTCAATATGGACCAGAATGCAGAAATGTCACTTCTTCGTTTCTTTTTTTTGGGGGGGAGGGTGGAGGGGGAAAGGGGCAGTAACCGCAGAGGGCCGAACTGAGGGGAGGGGCAATGTTATCACAGCGGCTCCAATCAGGCGTGTCATTTTAACCCGTTTGCTTTGCTCTCGATGCCACAACAAAAATGCTAAACAAGGCGCAGGCGATGGCGGTGTTTCTGCCCTGCAAGACTCTTGTAGTAAACAACTTAAGTCCTA